GAAGGCTCAAAAAAATAAAATCAGAAATGAAAGAGGAGAAATTACGACACCTCAGAAATACAAAAGATTATAAGAGAATAATATGAAAAGCCATACGCCAACAAATTGGATAATCTAGGAGAAATGCATAAATTCTTAGAATCATGCAACCTTCCAAATCAAGAATAAACTGAGAATTTGAATAGACCAATCACTAGTAAGGAGATCAAAACAGTAATCAAAAACCTCCCTTGGGGCCAGCCTAGTGGTTAAGTGGTTAAGATTGGCCCATTCCTCTTTAGCAGCCTGGGATTAGTTCCTGGGTGGAGCCTACACTACTCATTGGTGGCCATGCTGTGGCGGAGACCCACACACAAAATAGAGGAAGATTGGCACAGATGTTAGCTCAGGGTGAATCTTCCTCAGCAAAAAGATAAAAATAAATAAATAAATAAAAGTCCAGGACCAGATGGCTTCCCTGGTGAATTCTACCAAACATTCAAAGAAGACTTAATACCTATCTTTCTCAAGCTTTTCAAAAAAAATTTCAGAGGAGGGGAAGCTTCCTAACTCATTCTACGAGGCCAACATTACCCTGATACCAAAACCAGACAAGGACAACATAGAAAAAGAAAATAACAGACCAATATCACTGATGAACATTGATGCAAAAATCCTCGACAAAATACTAGCAAATCAAATACAACAATACATTAAAAAGATTATACACCATGATCAAGTGGGATTTATCCCAGGGATGCAGGGATGGTTCAACATCCACAAATCAATCAGCGTGATACATCACATTAATAAAATGAAGAATAAAAATCACATGATCATGTCAATAGATGCAGAGAAAGTATTTGACAAGATACAGCGTCCATTTATGACAAACACTCTGAATAAGGTGAGTATAGAAGGAAAGTACCTCAACATGATAAAGGCCATATATGACAAACCCACAGCTAATATCATCCTCAATGGTGAAAAACTGAAAGCTATCCCTTTAAGAACAGGAACCAGATAAGGATGCCCACTTTCACCACTCTTATTTAACATAGTATTGGAAGTCCTAGCCAGGGCAATCAATCAAGAAAAAGAAATAAAAGGGATCCAAATTGGAAAGGAAGAAGTGAAACCGTCACTTGCAGCTGACATGATTTTACATATAGAAAACCCTAAAGAATCCACCAAAAAACTTTTAGAAATAATAAACGAATACAGTAAAGTTGCAGGATACAAAATCAACATACAAAAATCAGTTGCATTTCTATACACTAACAATGAAGTAGCAGAAAGAGAAATTAAGAATATAATCCCATTTACAATTGCAACAAAAAGAATAAAATACCTAGGAGTAAATTTAATAAAGAGGTGAAAGACCTGTACATTGGAAACTATAAAACATTGTTGAAAGAAATTGAAGAAGACACAAAGAAATGGAAAGATAGTCTATGCTCTTGGACTGGAAGAATTAACATAGTTAAAACGTCCATACGTCCTAAAGCAATCTACAGATTCAATGCAATCCCTATCAAAGTTCCAACAACATTTTTCAGAGAAATAGAAGAAAGAATCCTAAGATTTCTGTGGAACAACAAAAGACCCTGAATAGCCAAAGGAATCCTGAGAAAAAAGAACAAAGCTGGAGTTATCACACTCCCTGATTTCAAAATATGCTATAAAGCTATAGTAACCAAACAGCATGATACTGGCACAAAAACAGACACACAGATCAATGGAAGAGAATCTAGAGCCCAGAAATAAACCCACACATCTATGGACAGCTAATTTTCGACAAGAGACCAAGAATGTACAACGGAGAAAGGAAAGTCTCTTCAATAAATGGTTTTGGGAAAACCAGACAGCCACATACAAAAGAATAAAAGTAGAGAATTTTCTTACACCATACAGAAAAATTAACTCCAAATGGATTAAAGACTTGAATGTAAGACCTGAAACCATAAAGTTTCTAGAAGAAAACATAGGCAGTATGCTCCCACACTGGTCTTAGCAGCATATTTTCAAATACCATGTCTGACCAGACAAGGGAAACAAAAGAAAAAAATAAACAAATAGGACTACATCAAACTAAAAAGCTTCTGCACAGCAAAGGCAACCATCAACAAAATGAAAAGACAACCTATCAATTGGGAGAAGATATTTGCAAACCATATATCTGATAAGGGGTTAATATCCAAAGTATATAAAGAACTCATACATCTCAACAACAAAAAAACAAACAACCCAATTGAAAAATGGGCAAAAGATCCGAATAGACATTTTTTACAAGAAGATATACAGATGGCCAATGGGCACATGAAAAGATGTTCAACATCACTAATTATTAGGGAAATGCAAATCAAAACTACAGTGAGATATCACCTCGTGCACATCAGAATGGCCATAATTAACAAGACAAGAAATAACAAGTGTTGGAGAGGATGTGGAGAGAAGGGAACTCTCATAAACTGCTGGTGGGAGTGCAAACTGGTGCAGCCACTATGGAAAACAGTATGGAGATTCCTCAAAAATTAAGAATAGAACTACCATATGATCCAGCTATTCCACTGCCTGGCATTTATCCAAAGAACATGAAAACACGAATGCATAAAAATATATGCACCCCTATGTTCATTGCGACATTATTCACAATAGCCAAGACATGGAAACAACATAAATGCCCATCAAAGGACAAATGGATAAAGAAGATGTGGTATATATACACAATGGAATCTACTCAGCTATAAAAAAGATGAAATTTTGCCATTTGCGACAACATGGACAGAACTTGAGGGTATTACGCTAAGTCAAATGTCAGATGGAGAAAGTCAAATACCATATGATCTCACTCATAAATAAAAGATAACGACAACAACAACAACAAACAAACACATAGATACAGAGATTAGATTGGTGGTTACCAGAGGGGAAGGAGGAGGGAGGAGGGCAAAAAGGGTGACTGGGCACATGTGCATGGTGATGGATGGTAATTAGTCTTTGTGTGGTGAACATGATGTTGTCTACACAGAAATCAAAATATAATGATGTACACCTGAAATTTACATAATGTTATAAACCAATGTTATGTCAATAAAGAAAGACAAATAAACTAGTGACATGTGGGAAAAAAAGTAGACATTAAAAAAATAAGTAAGAGAGATTCACGTATTTAACGAACACTCATATTGCATCAAGTATGGACTTGGCCCTGAAAACCAGTATTGGGATATGAAGTCTTAAAGAATTAAAGCTCCCATCTATTAGCTTTGATTTTCACCTCCCATATTAGTTTTAATTAGTGGACGTCTGCCTCTTTTAAGCTTTATGTTCTCTCCAGCTTCTCCCCCACAATTTCCCTTTACAGGTCACTGCCAGAGTTCACGCTGGCTCTGGCTTAGTTTCTGCCTCTAAGCTAGGAAACTCTTGAGTTTTACTTTCAACGTGGAAAAAATTCACGCATGGATGCAAACTGGCATGAGTTAAATCACTTCATTCCCTTAGACCTTAATTAAGGGAATTGCAGAAGTGTTAATTTAATTACATTTAAACACCTAATTGAAAATCAGAAGTCCACTAGCTTCTAGGTATGCAGTTCATGATCAAAGTTTCACAAGGCTCGGTTTCCATTTTATGAACTGAATCGTTGATGCTTAGGGGGGTCCCATAGGTTTGACATGGTCCTTTTTTGTTTCAGTGGATAATACGTTGAGTCCAAGGCCATACAGCCTTCCGGGATCACTAGCCCAATTTTTATTCTTTCAGAAATTAATACTATTACTTTAAAAGGTGAAGCAGAAAGACCATACAGAAACTAGGGGGGAGAAATGAATTCACAGAGGCACAGGCTGGATGAACAGGCCAACCTGCCAGGCAGACAGTGAGGCAGCCGTATCTCGTGCTGCTCTGTCCTGCGGGCACGCTCGGGACTCACAGGCCCTCTGGCCCGGCGCTGGGTGGCCCCATCACGAGCTGATGCCCAGGGCCCTAATTCCACAGGTGCAGCACATTAACCCAGATTTGTGTTGGCCTGGCAGCTGGGCTTGGCAGGCTTTGAAATGCCATTGTGAGACAAAAGAGGGGCTTATTTTGTCTTTCCTCCTTCCTGCCACTGCTTTAATTGGCCCTAACCAGATGACATTTGGCAGGATGCCAAGACAGTACTTGACTCCCGCTGGTGGAAATAGTGTATGTTTGATTAAAGGCTGAAAATTGATGACATCTGAGCTCCAAGTCCAAATATTTCCATGGGATTGCTGCAGCAGGTTTTCTGGAGCTTTGTCGGAAGACAGTTGAGGACCATGGGACCACTTAGGAACCTTCTCTGGGTAAGAGCCCTGTACTGTTGTCCAGGCACTGTTCTAAGGCCCTTAAGTGTGTTAACTCCATAATCCTTACAATGATCCTGTGAGGAAGGGACCACTCAGATCATTTTCCCCATTCCACAAATGAGAACACTCCACGGAGAGGTCGACACGTGCCTAGGAGCACGTGGTTAGGAAGGGAAGCTGGAACTAGGATGGGGGCTGCCTGGCTCCAGGGCCCACGCTCCTGTCCACCAGGCTCCACTGCCTCCTGAGTAAGATGGTGACATTCATCTGTGGTTTTAGTGGGCACTTTCAGATCAGGAAGGGAAGGGCGCCAGTTCCTTAATACTCAGGGCTACCAAGGGCACTATGGTTTTTACTTTTTGATTTTAAATGTGCTATTTTCTGTTCTAGATATATCAGTAAGCTCCAGAAAGATTTCCCCTGTTCTTAAAAAATAATTTCTCTTAAAACAAAAATAGGGAAGGAAGGAAGGGGGGAGGGAGGAAGAAAGGGGGGAGGGAGAAAGGAAGGAAGGCTCAGCCAATGGGAAGCATCAGTGGGAGTGTGGAGAATGAGAAGGACAAAGTCAGAGTATTTCTCCTCCTCTCTGTCTCAGGCCATGTCCCCAGCTGTGGCCGCATTGCCCTGTGGCACCAGCCCCTATCTGGCAGGTCAGCCATGTTTCCAGCTTCCTCCAGGTCGGCTACCCTCACCTCCCAGCACTGGGGGAGAGGGGGTAATGACTCATCAACCATTGCTTCATGTCTCCTTTGGTTTTCCAGGGGTGCCATCAGCTTTGCAATCAATTTCTTGTTCTAAATCCCCTTTACGGAAATACCTAGCATGGTATCTGTTTACCTGGCTGGACCTGTATGATACGCCCTGGAACACCTTTCTTAGAATGCGACAATGTGGGTGGCATCTTTCCCCTCCAAGAGCAGAGAATGGGCTTAGAAATAGCCTTTCAATTCCTTTTTTAGTCCAAAAATTTACAGGGACTTGGTGTTCAGTCAGCCAATGCTCCCAGGTTGTGACTAGAAATTAAATTATAAACTTAGAGTGCCAAAGAATGAAGAAGTTGCACTTAGTTTAATCCCATCTGCCACCTCACCCTCCAAACACACACCTCCACTCTGCCGATGATTATGTGGGTTTCTTGTAGCTGATTTATCTAGCCGCTCAATCTGAGAGACTCAGGCTTTTCTTTTTTTCCGAGAGTTTCCCACCAAAAATGCAGAAAAGGTTTTGCTGAAATCTCTTAACCATCGAGTGATAACATTCAAATCACAGGGATTCTCTGCAATGTGAGTTCTATCAGCCAATACTTACCAAGGACCTGCCATGGGCCAGGCTGTGGGCTAGGTGCAGAGAGGACACGGAACTGAGCTAGACTTGGTCCACGCTCTCCGAGAGTAGAGGGCTTGGCCCAAGGAGGAGTATGGCAAGAGCCATTGGAAAAGACACTGTGGATGCTCAGCAGAGAGATGAGCCCAGCTTCAGTCTTTCCCTATGGAAGTCTGATTGGAAAATCTGGGGAGACATCTTCAACAAAGTGACAGAAAGTTGGGCCCTAAAGGATGGGAAGATAAAGCCAAGAGACGTCATATGGAAAGGTATTCTGGGTCTGAGCAGAGAGGGCATCCGTGGGGAATTGAGGGGCACAGAAAATGGTCCAATTTGACTAAGCAGGACCCTATGGGGGGAAGCAGACCATCTGAGTGATAGTCAGACACCCTGATGCTGGATTCTTGGGCTTGTTTTCTTTCACATACTCTGTACACATGTGCAGTCTAGCACTCTCTCTCTCTCTGTCTCTCCCCCCCGCCCCCAGGTGTCTGAGTCTGACAAGGCTGGTCCTCACCGGGAGACACTATTACTGCCTCTGCGACTCACATGCCCAGCTCCTCTCTGCTTCCGGCCCATTCTCCCCCCTCCTCTTTCTCTATTTGCCCTTCCTCAACCTCACTTTGGGAGTTTTATTTTCCATCTCTTTGGTGGCCATGCTGTTAGCTTGCCTGCTAAGTGATATATATATTCCAAGCTGGATCCAAGACAATGTGGGATGAAAACCAAATGCAAATCGACTAGAAAGGCCAGAATAAACACAAACTTAAAGACCTCAAACTAACTTGCCAAGGCTGTGCATCTATCTGAGCTGTCCCTCTAGGGCTCTCCATCTCAGCTCAGAGCAGTCTCCCGGGCTGTCCTCACACGGACATGTGGGGAGTGGGGGAGAAGGTCTCTTGGCATTCCCTCTTTGCCTTTTAAAGATTGATGTGATCTCAGGGCTTCCACAAGGAGCCTCTGCTGGGTTAGCATTCCCTCTGCCAGCATAGTGGCCTGTCCCCCGACACTGCCTCCTCTGCTAGGATCCCCCGCCACTGCAGCCCCTGCTGATCCAGGGCTCTGTTCCTTTGCTCTTGGGTTCAGATCCTCACCTTCTGAAGAATCTTTGGGAACTGCATCTCCCACCTCCACTGGGAGCATGTGTCTGGCCCACACCAGCTCAGACACTGTGGGAAGTCCTCCTGGTTAGTCAGTGTGAACTCATCTCAGACTTTCCCCCTGGGACAGGAACTTTGGACCAATAGCTCGAGGAATTGTATTCACAATAACTACTTCCTCTTAGTCAAGCTTTAGGGAGTCAGCAGCCTGGGCTCAAATCCCAGCTTTGTCTCTAAGATAGTTTTGCAACACCGGAAAAATCACCGCACCCCACTGGACCTCTGTTTCTTCAGCCATTCAATAAATATTCATGCAGCAGCCACTGTTCTGGGTACTGGGGATATAGAGGTGAACATGACTGATAAGACCTCTTAGAATTTACAGTCTGGTCATGGGAGATAATAAATGAGCTTTAAAAATCAGGGATTAAAAAAAAACCTCAGGAAACAATTTGGTAATATCTAGAAATATGAATGCCCTTTGACCCAGCAATTCTACTCCTGGGTATATACCCTAGAGAAATTCGTAAACTTTTACCCAAGGAGAAAGAATGAACATGAAAGAATTTAAATGCCAACTCACAAGAGAATGAATATGTATATAGGGTGATATAGTCCTAGAGTGGTGGATAGCAGCGAACGTGAATGAACGAGAGCTGCACATATCAATGTGGACTGTATTGCAAACATAAGGTTGGCTTAAAGAAACGTGTTGCAAAGAAATATGGAAAGTGCAATGCCATCTATGTAAAGTTAAAATATGCAAAATAATGTTATATAGTATTGAGTGGCAAAAGTATTTTTTTAAATACATGGGAATGAATAACACCAAATTCAGGTTAGTGCTTTCGTCGGTGGAGAGAGGGAAGAGGATGGAATTGCGGACGGATACACAGAAGGCATCAACTGTACTGATAATGTTCTGTATGTTAACCCAAGTTATGAAAACATAGTTATTATAATATTCTTTAGATTTTGGGGGTATATTTTAAGTTTTTAAAATTTATTACATAATGACAGGTGCCTTGAAGAGGATCAACATTTGATGTGATCAAGAGTGACTGGAGGGGGTGGTATTTGGACTGGGTGGTCAAAGAAAGCTTCTTGAGAGGCAAATCATGAATGACATGAAGGAGCCAGCCATGACAATATCTGGGGGAGGAGCATTTTGGGTAGAAAGAACATTTAGTGCAAAGTGTCAGGAATTGTGAAGGGTCTGAGTTGTACCCCTACTTGCAAGCTAACAAGGTAGGCTGCCAATTTTGCGGCTGCTGGCAGAAGACCCAAGACATCTGGGTCAGAGCAAAAGGTTTTATTATTTACAGCAGCAGGCAGCGTGAGCTTCGCATTCACAGTGGTTCTCTGATGAACCCTTCCCATGGTACTCCCTTCCCCATGGGCAATGTTCAGACATAGAGTCAGTAAGACTTGCTGATGGATTTGGATGTGGGGGACAAGAGAATGATAGGAATTTAAGATGCTTTCTAGATTTGGGGCTCCACCCAAAGGAGAATGAATTGAGTAACCAGGCAAGGGGTGACAGGACACATAAGTACTCCTTTGAGCATGTGAGGATGAGATGCCTAACAGACATCTAAGTGGATGTGCATAGTTGGGTGTAAGCATCTGGAGTTGAAGGGAGAGGGTAAGGCTGGAGGTATGGACCTGAGAGGCACTGGCAGATGGCAGGTACTTAAAGCCCTGGGATTGAGGAGCTCACTAGAGAAGGCTTTCCATGTTTACCAGACTCTCCTGGTCAACAGAATCACCTGGAACATTTGTTAAAAACACAGATTCCCAGGTCCCATTCAGATCTTGCTGTCTAAAATTTTATGATATATATGTTTTTTTTTTTTGCATAAATTCTATCTTCTCCCAATATTTATTCAGTGCCTATTACATTTCAAGCACTGTGCTTGGTTGTGATGGGTAAAGCTAGAGCAGCATCCTGTGGTCACGAAGAAAGGCCAAGAGAACCACTGGGATTTTGGCACTGATTTCATTGAACCAATGGACCTGGATTCCAACTTGCCAGTAAGAGGGAAAAATAACCCCCTATTTATTTAAGCCACTATAGTTGGGGTTTTTTGTTTGTTTGTTACTTTCTGCCAAAAACATTCTAACCTGATACACACGTTTTATTATTATATTTATAAATCTAGTACATTTAAATAAAATAAAACTAATCACTTTTGGGAAGAGGGGCTATAATTAATGCTTGATTAACTCAAGTTGAATAAGTTAAATTCCCTTAGACCATCAGTCTCATTTACAAGCATCATTTATTAAAATCTCTTAAACATTTTAAACTTCTTGTATAAACTTATCATAGTTAACTTTCTGTTTTAGCACTTCAAATAATTGACCTGGTAAGTTTACAATCAATTAAGCCAAAATGTTCTCGTATATTTAAACATTTCTTCTAAATCTAATAAATTAAACTTATAAGTATAGTGAATTTATTCTAATACTGTTAATGAGCTAAGTCAAAATTTCTTACACCTTTCAACTTAAAATCACAAGCCTAAAATCAATTTCACATTCTAGATTGGGATGGTTAAATTTTTGAAAACATTTAAATCACTTAAGAAACATACACAAGATTATTCCTAAATGTAACACAAAAGTATCAATATTATGGGTTTGATTTGTTTCATCATCTCCATATTTAATTCTAAACATTCTCAGACTCGGCAAGTCACTTACTCAACAAGGAAACAGACTTCCTACCTCAAAGGAGTCCAAGTTCCGGGGTCAAGAACTCATGACGACAATATGGTGGACGTCTCAGATACACTGAGGTTGCTTAGGGGCCAGAGTCACAAGAGAAGTGAGCATCCCCACCCTTTCTGTGGTCACTGCGACAACACGGGACACCCTGTAGAGGGGTTTGATTTTAGAACCTTCATTCAGTTACCTCTTATTATTCTTTGTTTTTAATTCTTTATTTTATTTTAATTCTTTATTTTTAATCCCTAGTATAGAAGGAAGTCAGCAACTCCACCTCCACCCAAGCTAAGTAACTTCTTTTATTAATTCATTGGCTTCTGTGTTTACTTGGCCCTCTGCAAACATTGCTAACATATTTCCATGTTGCTCTAAGGACATTTTAATGCTGTTGAATTTAATCCTGAACATTTGGCTCTGCACCATGACTCTCAAGTCATGATAATAACACAAATCATTCCCTTTCCTTGTGACTTTTTAGGAATTCCCAAAATGGGATTACAGCATCTCACCTTTCCTCAGAACTACTGTATTTAACTCGGCATGATCTCTGCTTCCGGTGCCGTTCTCCCTTGAGCCTGCCCCTGGACATCCTGTGCATTCACGGAGGCCATCCAAAGGGAGCGCCGACCTGGTCTCAACCTCAGATGCGTGGGCCCATCCCTCCACTCCAGTGCAAGGAATCTCCTTACCACCCCCACCTCCCGTTCTCTTTATTCACCTCTCTCTAAAAGGTAGATAAGGGCTTCTCTTTTTGAACATATGGCCTTTTTGTGTGTGTGCAGCACCAGAGCTGGAGCACCATTTGTTTTAGGTTTTCATTACTTGTAGATATACGAGGATTGAAACATTACAATTGTTACCATTTCACCAAATTTTCAGCACTCTGCTGATACCTGGCAAAATAACAGTTACCTTTCTCATGCCTCTCAGGCAAAATATTCATTGATAACTATGTTTTTCTTCAGGTTATAGATATTCCTAAAAGATGTTTACAAATTTCTTTTTAGTATCGTGTCTGTTCAAATACTCTGAAAACTCCAATATTTAGAGAAATCCATTGGGGGATTATCTTTCTAAGGTGAATAATCACCCCTAATTTGTACATTTGGCTTAAAATGGAGTGCCTTTTGTTGGGTTTGAACATGTGCAATAATGCTTTTTTCCCCCAATTTCACGGACCAGAGAAGTCCCTCTTCCTTTCATAGGAAGAGCAAATAAGAAGTGGAAATAGGGACTTTCCCTCAGTGCTTCTGAGATAGAAGTTTCCATTTTGTGGGCAGAGGCACGAATGTTTATGAAGAAGGGAATTTTAATTCCCTTCTATGTATATTTCTGTTGATTTTATTGGTGCAAATTGATGCTAGATTTAAAAGCTGTATCAGACAAATATCAACCAATCTTAATGTTAACCTTTCATAAAAGAAGCTTTATGCTTTTCACCATTCTATTTTAATTTCACCAATTTCTTCAACCTACCTTCCCCTTATTTTGTTATATCTAGTTTTATTTCCCAAGTTCAAAGTTACTTGTTTTGGGGGAAGAGATGTCTAATGCCTACCCACATCCGGGTCTCCTCTCCTTCCAGGCACTGGAGGATGACATTTCCCTATCCTCCTGGTGGGGCCATGTGACTAGTTCTGGGTTGTGAGAGTCAGGAAGTCACTCCTGGGCCACACTATGTCATTCTGGGGTGAACATCTCCAGTGTTTTCTTCTCTTGAATGAGGAGGTAATGTACTCTTGATGGTGCAGCCACAGGATGGCTGAGTCACCCCATGGAGAACAATGGTTTTTTTTTTCCCTAGTAATTTTATTGAGATCATAATGGTTCACAACGTTGCGTAATTTCGGGTGTATATTATTGTTTATCAGTTTCTGGATGGACTTCATCGTGCTCACCCCCAGTAGTCTATTTATTGTCCATCACCAAACACATATGCCCCTTTACCCCTTTCACCCGCTCCCCAACCCCCTTCACTCTGGTAACCACTAATCTGTTCTCTTTATCCATGTATTTGTTATCTTCCACATATGAGTGAAATCATGGTATTGGAGGGTTTCCAGGGCCTGCAGGGGACTTTGCCAGCCTAAGAAATAAACTTTTATCAAAAGTTTAACTTTTAAGTCACTGAAGTGTTGGAGTTGTTGATTGCCACAGCGCCATGGTTTTCAAAGTGTGGTACCCAAGTGGCAGCATCAGCATCACCTGGGAACCTGCTAGAAATGCAGAAGCTTGGACACCACACAACTCTACTGAATCAGACCCTCAGGAGGTGGGACCCAGCAGTCAGTGGCTGAACAAGCCCTTCTGGGGGCTGTGATGCAGGCTGATGTTGATGGTGGCTGTGATGCAGGCTGATGTGTGAGGACCACTGCTCTAGCTGTCCTAGATAACACAGCTCTCAATTACAATTTCTCTCTTGGCAAAGCCGGAGTCTTCAAGTGGGTCCTATCTGCGAGACAAAAATCATTTTCAAGTTTCTTAATTAATTATTCTTCCTCACAGTGATAAAATCATTCAATCACTTCCCTCTTTTAGGGTCTCAAAACTACACGAGGATCTATAAACCAGACCAGTCTTTCTACTTTGAATGCAGTTGATACATGACTTTTATGGACACATAAAAGAAAGTTAAGAAGAACTCAAAGCTGCAGTGAGAAGAAAGAAAATTATCTTTACCTTTCCAGGCACAGCTGCTGGCTGGGGGCTGTGCTGATCTGCCCAGACGATAATGCAACAGCAGAAAGTAGTGTGGGGCGTGCTCAGGGCAGCAGGAGTGCAGGATGTTCCTGGTTTCCCTGGAAGGCTCCCCATCGGAGGAGCAGGCAGGCTGAAAGCTTCTCTTGCATTTTTTCCCCACAGCCCCCTTCCCTTCCTTTACTATCCAGTAAGCTCCTGCAAGTAAGTTGAACCTCTGGTCTTATTTCTCTTAAGGTTCCCATCGTCTCACCCTGAATGTATCTACTTGGGGACGTTCCAAGATAATCCAGTGAAACAAACTTGATCTCTGGTGCCTTCAGTAAATCTCTAAAGCTAATGAGGACCTTCTGTTGTTAGTGCTGTCCAGTCGATTCCGACTCCTAGTGACCCTGTGGATGGCAGAGCGGAACCCTGCCAGGTCTTTTTGTGCCATCCTCTCCCCTTCCAGGGCTGTATCAGACAGTGCTTCGCTGCTATTCACAGGGTTTTCGTGGACAATTTTTTTGGAACTGAGTGGCCAGGTCCTTCTTCCTGGTCTGTCTTAGTCTGGAAGCTCCGCTGAAACCTGTCTACCATGGGCAACCCTGCTGGTATTTGAAATAACAGTGGCATAGCTTCCAGCATCACAGCAACACGCAGCAGCCATAGTATGATAATGGACAGATGGGTGGTGTGGTTCCCTAACTGGGAAACAAACCTGGGCTAGTCAGTGAGAGCACCAAATCTTAACTGCTAGACACCAGGGCCAACTAATGATGAACTTAGGGAGCACTTGAGATAAATTGATTCTATTACTGAAGGAAATATTTATTTACATTAGAATTTGGAATTTATGTTACATTAGAATTAGAATTTACATTAGAATCAGATTTGATTCTAAGTGGTTTTTTTTGATCCTTCAGCTTTTTATTTTGAAAAATTCCAAACACACAGAAAAGTTGAAATAAAAGTGACATCAGCAGGATGGCTGAATAATCTGTCCCTAATTCATATCCCTCCTCAACAACAACAGTTTGGCATCCATCTGTGGGCAAAAATGCATTTCTGGGAGCTGTGGGATCCAGCACCGTATGCCAAGGGACCTAGGAGGAGTCTCACCCACACATACATCAGGTAATAAGCATACAGACCTTATCCCAGCTATGGAACCTGAAGTGGTCCAGGAACTGGCTCCAGCCCCTCTCAGTCATGGTCCAGGAGCCCTTGGAGAACGCTGGCTTGGACAATCACCCACAGATGGGAAAACCTTCATGGACATTCTGGAGTCCAGCAGAGAAGTTCCAGCACAACATTGGAGCAACACAAGTATGAGTTTGGAGGTGTTGGAGGGGCCAGGCAACAAAAATTAGAGGAGGTGACTGCTACTTCAAATGCGAAGACAGCAAGGCAAAACTTCAAAGAACATGAAAAATCAAGGAAACACGACACAACCAAAGGATCACGATAATTTTCCAGTACGAGACACCAAAGATATGGAGATCTGTGATTTACCCAATAAAGAATCCAAAATAGCTGTTTTAAGGAAGTTCAATGAGTTGCAAGAAAACACAGAAAGACAATATCAATGAAAGCTTGAAAACAATACACAAACAAGGCTGCTCCATCTCGTATCCTTTCTCCGACCTGCTAAGAAAGGTCTCCCCTCACCTGCTATTACTAGGCCTTTATTCCCAGGATCAGAATAATGTATGGTGGGGGGTGGGGGTGAGGACTAAAGAAGCCAGAAAGGCCAGCTGGATTTATAATGGTAAAAAGTAAGAGGAAAAAAATAAATACAGAACGCAGAAAGGAGCAAAAGATATAAGAGAGCCTGTGTAGGGCGAGTTTATGACAAAATTTTGAGACATTTAACAAATGGGGACAATATATACCTTGGAATCAGCTGTCATATGTTGGTTAGATATATAGTTAGAAAGAGAAAAAGATGAGAAAGAGGGTTTTAAGTTTTGTGATCTTCCTTTGCTGCCTTCTCAAAAGAAGGCAGTAAAGATATTAATTGCTTATCAGGGATTATTGGATAAGCAAAAACCAGCTGCTATTTCTTTGAACGCAACCCTGTACATAACTGGACTAAACAGCTGGGCAGTGTACAGATCACACAGAGATCTTCAGGCAGTAGCTGTGTTGTATGCTCCCAGCGCCCTCTCTCCAGGAGAGTCTTTAGTGAGAGTCTAATAATAATAATAACATTAAGAGCTGACAAAAAAAGCTAACACTGTTACCCACCATATGCTAAGAACTATACATGAGTCACCACACTCAGTCGCCACAATAGCCCACAAGTGAGTACTACGTTGATCCTCATTCTGCAGATGAATAAAATGAGGCTTAGATTCCGTTTTCCACAGTCACCCAGCTGGTGAGACCAGAAGAGAAACTTGAATCCAGGCCCGTGTCTGCTGTGCTGTCTACACTAAGAATTACTTATATTTCTGGGGCCGGCCCCGTGGCTTAGCAGTTAAGTGTGTGCGCTCCGCTGCTGGCGGCCCCGGTTCTGATTCCGGGCGCGCACCAACGCACCGCTTCTCCGGCCATGCTGAGGCCACGTCCCACATACAGCAGCTAGAAGGATGTGCAGCTATGACATACAACTATCTACTGGGGCTTTGGGGAAAAATAAATAAAATTAAAAAAAAAAAAAAAAAGAATTACTTATATTTCTATCCCCCAAAAAGAAAGCTTGCCGAAGCACTTCCTAAATCCATGTCTTTGCACCTTTATTCAGCATTTATGAAAAATCAGGGCTATGTTTCTGGGGGCAGTGATCTGGAGGGTGACCAGGCCTTTGCAATCCTCTGCCCGAGGGTCCCTAACTCATGAGCAGTCTGGACATTCTCTTTGCTCTCAGGTGGCTCGGTACTTGAACGACTGTACTCGGACCCCCACCACTGGCCTGGTTCCCTCTCCTCCCCACGCCCCAGGAGGCAAGGTTCTCTTCTACACCTCAGCCCTCCTCAGCAGAGTGGACTAAAACTAGCAAAGCAGCCCCCAGGCCCAAACAGTTTCAAAACATAAGAAACAGAAGAGAAGTTTGTAAATATAATTCCTATTTCCTTGTACTGTGATGCCAAAGTGTGTTTATTATTCTGATATTTGGAGCTCGGGGTATCTTTTGCTTATTCAAAACAATATGAAGTACAGTGGTTGACGTCCCATTCCAGCCCACAGAAGCCTGAGAAAGCCACAATGTAGTTAAAACAAGGCTCACATACGACAAAGAGCACAGGACAAATATCTATCATAATACTCATGATTTTTTAAAAAAACATTAGAAACAAAATGTAAGAAAGTTTGTATTTATTAAAACGTATAGACTCGGGGAAAAGTATGTTTAGAGAAAAATGAAGATATAGATGGAAGATTTTGGAGATTCTAAAAGAGATTTCTGGCTACTTCAAAGGACTTCGGAGGTTGAGGGCATGCGTTCTTGTAAGCTCTAATTATATTTTAAAGGAAAAAAAACTCTCCTTTTTCTCTAATACAGATTTGCCACCAGCTCTGAGTTCCTTTTTTTTTCTTTTTTTGTGAGGAAGATTAGCCCTGGGCTAACATCTGACGCCAATCCTCCTCTTTTAGCTGAGGGAGACTGGCCCTGGGCTAACATCTGTGCCCATCTTCCTCTACTTTATATGGGACGCCACTACAGCATGGCTTGACAAGCAGTGCGTCGGTGTATGCCTGGGATCCGAACCTGAGAACCCCGGGCTGCCTGCGAACATAACCACTGCGCCACCAGGCAGGCACCCCCCAGTTCTGACTCTTAACAATGATGCTAAGGGGTTTCTTGCACCGTGTGACTCACAAATGGAATGGAAAGAAGCAAGAAACTTTTCTGGAGAGAACTAAGTAAAAAAAAAATAGAGAAAATGGATAGTGGAAGGTCTAAAGAGGTGAGTAGAGTTGCTTTCCCAACCTGGCACCTTGTGAAGCCATCAGTTCCAAACAGCTTGACTGCCACCTGGAGAAAAAGGATAAGTGTCGGTGCAGTAGAAAAGAAAGGAGACACAGGGCTGTGTATGGAAAATAGTTCTCTTTAAGAAAAAGAAAACAAGCCCTGATTTGTAGTGTCTGCCGAAAGGCGGGGTATAAATACTCCCACCATGGGCAATTTCAAGCTACAAGTGGTTTAATAACTGGCTCGCAAAATTCCTGAATATTTGACAATCAGCTTCTGTGAGCTGGTGCGAGCCACCTCCAAGACACCACTGCATGGTGCAACTAACCATTTACATGTTCAGATGGTTGCCTGTCAGACTCACCTATGAGCATGTGCTGTTCTGTTCTGCTCTGTGGTGTTTTAGTTATTTTGATGGTTACTTATTTGAAACTGGCAGAATACCCATGGAGTTCTGTAAAAGAGTGTATCTCAAAAGTACATCCTTTGCCTAAAAGCCATGAGAAATCAGAGGGCAGAAGGCCATTTGAGTAGTCTAAATTTAAATTCAAGAATCATCACATCACTGAATTCTTGGGACGACATTAAATTTTCTGATGACTCTTTCCTCTATGTGAGTTTTTAAAAAGTAAAATAAAAAATCACCAGTGATTTTTCTGGAACAATTAAAAAAACTTAAAACCAGGGCATGTTCTTGGTGAAATTTTAATGCATTTCCAAAGCAGATGAGAAATTGAAGAGAATGTCTCTGTTGACCTATTAGTCTATGTGTTCACCTGGTTACACTGTCTATCAGAGGCAGGGCTTCTCAGACTCAAAGTGCTGGAGAACGTGGAAAAGCGTCTTGACTCACAGAGTGGCCACCGCTGTGAAGTGGATGTTGGGGAGACCTAACACTCAGAGAAAAAGCAGCCCACAGACCCAAGAGGGACAGGAGAGGGAGCAGGGGCATCGCCTTCCAGCCTCTCCCTGCTGGTCTCCTGCCTACACAGTCACCATGATCTGATCCAGACGTTTCCGTTTCAGGTCGGGCACCGTGGCCTCTTTGCTGGGGTACCCCACGGGGAGCAGCATCAGCAACTTTTCATTTGCAGGGCGGCCCAGGAGCAGCCGCAGACGGGGGCCACAGTTGAGAGGAGTGGTAGTGACAGTTACCAGTCCTGCATTCTAGAACAGGAGAGGAACAGAAACCTTTTAAAGTCAGTGGCAAAGTCACGGCTCTGCTTCTAGCCTGGGGACATTCTAGTCCCTATTAGACCTGCTTGTCCCATCATTTCCCTGAAGCTGGGCAGCAAAGAGGCTGCCAGCTTGGGCAATGGGTGTCTTGAATCTTACTGCTCTCCTCGACCTCCCCTGCCTCCATTATCTTTTAACCCAACTGTGAGAAGCTTCTCGAAGAAGAAAAATACTAGTCTTATTTTTCATTGATGCTTAAGAAATAGGAATGGTTATTTCATGGAAAGGAATTTGGGGAATCCAACTACACCAAAGGGAAGGCCGATACCAGAGCAAGTTCCTGTGATTAGATGACCAACAATGGAGGCAGAGCATCATCCTCAGCTGAAAATACCTATGTCCAGTGATAGAGGACCCAGTGGCCAAGGGATACGTTGGAGGTAGAGGAAACACTCCATCAGACTCTCCCCAAGACCCCCAGATAATAAGCATCTAATAAAAATCACGTGTAGCTTCAAGACACTTCCCAAGCTGACCCTCTCCATCCCCGCTGCTTTCCCAGTCAGATGGCCACGGCTAAGCCTGAGCCGGAAGTAAGGTCTGGAACTGCCTTTGAGAGCCCTGCAGTCACCACGCAACCTGTCCAGATGGAGGCTTCAGGAAGACTTCTCTTTCCTCCCTCACAAATCATGACCTACGCTCAGAAGTATGCCTTATGGAAAGCTAGAGGGCGGCAAACTCAACGCTAAGGTGAAAAAGGCTGCTGATGTGAAGGCGCAGGAGCCACTTTGTGAATTGTGAATTGAGCTTGCTCCAGGCCTAACCGACTTCTTCAGGGACCCTAAGATGGATGGCGGCGCCCTGTGGTCTGACTTCGCACAGTGCTTCCTTTATTTATCTGCTTACAGAATCAGGAAGGAAATAAGATGCCAGTTCCTTTAGGACAATTTTTCAAGCAATCTAAAAACATATTCCTCTTTCGTGTAACCATGACTATATTTCGTAAGATGTTTTTGGCACACAAATTTTTCACTGAGATAGTGAAGAAGCACATGGTGTTTTGGAATCGACTGTCCCTTGAAAGCATGATCATTCACTCTTATAATCTTGTTTGCTTTGTTTGTTTTATGTGTTTACTGTCACTCTCCACCCCAGAACCCCAATACCCACTAGTTGGTGAAGCCCCCATTCCTGGTGCCTCCCAGGATCCATCATGTAGAAGGCGCTCAGAAAATACTTGTTGAGTGAATGAATTGAATTACGTGAAAGGTGTACCTCAATCCTGCTCTATTTCATGCTTAGCATTGGTCTAGCTACTAGGTAGATGGAAATTTTTAAGCACATGGACATCTTTCTAATGCAATACAGTGTAAACTCAACTTCTCAGGGAAGGAGCTCTGTGACAGAGTCCTCCTTATAGCTTTGTAATCATTCCATCGGCTCAGACAACAACAGGAAACACAGCTAGGAAACCAGAGCCTGGAACCTCAGGCTGTAAAGCTCTTCATGAGTGTCTGCCAAAACCCCTGAAGCTTTGTGTCGTTACAGATGAAGGAGAGCGCAACGACTATTTCTCTGACCCTGAAATGATGTTATAAGTGAATTTTCAGGAAGAACGCCAGCGTGTTGAACCATCACACTCACCAGTCCAGGTTTCCAGAGTCAGTTTTCACAACCGAGTTACCTTACTTAGGAATTCAACTTTAGATAAACAGTTTCCAAAGGTCCCCGAACTAGAAACTCAGCGGACATTTGTGAATAAGGCCACCGTTTGGCCCCCAAGTATCACTCCTCTCTCTTGGGCTGGGTGGGAGGGTGACATACCTGCAGGGCAGCCAGGAGGATGCCGCAAGCGATGGAAACACTGATCTCATTGTAGTGGTGGACCTTTCTTTTGCCATTTGCAGCAAAACCATATACTTGTTTGAAAATGAGAATTAAAACAGGAGCTGTGTCCAAGTACTCTTTAATCCAATTGGTTCTGAAGGGAAAAAAAGATATTCCAGAGAAGATTTGCTTTTAATGATTTCTGTTCTCTTTTTAACTTACCTTAGCTTGTTTATGTTGAAAATAAAAATGTTTACTTGTTTTTCATGTTTATACTGAAAAGGAGCAGGATTTTTGTTTGTGTCTTGTTCATCTTTTTCTATCCAAGGTCATTCAATTCAATTAACATGTATTCCTAAGGGCCTAGTACGGCAAGACACATGAAATGCTGAAAGATACGAAGGTGGATCCTATAACCAAAAGGACAATAAGCCAAATTTAGCAAAATAAAGCCTGGAAAGTGCTATTAAAGAAATACAAACCAAGTGCATTAGGAGCCCCGCATTACTCACCGCATATGGTTATTGTGAGGGTGAGATCAGCTAAAACAGAAAAAGTGCTTAGAATAGTACCCAGTTCATAGTGCCATGTATGTGTTAGCCAGTGTTATTACTAGTATTAGTAATATTACTAATTACTAGTGTTATTACTAGCAATATTACTAATTACTTGTGTTATTACTAGCAATATTACTAGCAATATTACTAACTACCACTGTTATTACTAGCAATATTACTAACTACCACTGTTATTACTAGCAATATTACTACTACTGTTATTACTAATATTACTAATATTATTTTACAGTGAATAACTCAAAAGAAGTTTTAAAAATATGAGATGAAGAATAAGCAATTTACCTTGGTTCCAAGGCAGGTTAGTAATTTTTACTGATATTTGTACTTATTTATTTTACCTAGGCATACATTGGTATCTGATATTTTGAGTATGTTCAATTTTACAAGAATTTATTACGATATTATAGTAGAGCTAGGAAAAAGACAGCAAAGTACAAGGCCTGTTAAACGAAGGACAAGTAGCACCTTCTGCCTGGGGTGGAGGGCTTACGCAGCAAGCAGGAAAAGATAAGCTTTTGCAGATAGGTTGGGCCCAGATTGTATATCGAGCCTTTAATGTCACTTAGGGTTTCAGTTCCTGATATAAGGCCTAGTATACACTAGATATTCAGTGAATTGTGGCTATTTTTATTTCTAAACCCCAACTCAGCCAAGTTTAGCCAAAACTACTTCCCTTCCTCTTAAAAAAAAGTAATAAAAATTAAATGTCACATGGGTTTCGGAGTTGACTCAAACAGGATGTCAGGACATATGCTCACTTGCAATTCAATTTAACAAACATTTATCCAGTTACCTACTATGCATCAGCACTCTGCTAGATGGTACAGTAGAAGACTTTTTTAAGCCGGAGCTCCCTGGACCCCTAGAGTTTTTATGTATATGTGTGTGTACATATTGTCTGCAGAGAAAGTCTATAACTTGAATTGGATTCTTAAGAGTATCTCGGTGTACAACAAAGGTTTCTAAAATATGCCTATAACATGAGAAGAAAAGTAGACTAATTATTAAAATACTATGTGGTCATGGCTATTTTCGAAGCATGGAAAGTGTATATTAGGTGCTTTGAGTACAGAGATGAGAAAGGAGCTAATTCTGCCTTCCTAGGGGAAAACGATGAGGCTGGCAGCGTTTTGTGGGTACTGCCTGCTCCCAGAGCACAGCATCTCTCTAAGAGTAGAAACTCAACTGGAATTTTACTCATCCTATTTTTCCCCCCAAGAATATGCAATAAGATCTATATAGTCATTATTAATGTCCTACACTTGTTCCAGAGCACGGTAATAAATGATAACTCCATAAGATATCAATTTGGATAGAGTTGAAATATCTTAGGAAAAAATTGTTCTCTGGGGCCAAATAAATGAAATAGGAGCAGGGCCAAGAGGCCCATCACTCCAGTCCTATTTGATGAGAAGTCCTGCCGTACCCCCCAAGACTGTGATGCGATCGCCCTTTCTTAGGCTGTATCGCAGTGGGGAGTAGGATGGCCGGTGCCAGAATGGGCCACTCAAGTCCCACCGCTGACAGCCAGACACATGAGCACCTCTACATTCTAAGTGTCAAGGACTTGAGTTAGCCTCCCTTCTGAGAGATCGGGACCAATATCTCTGCCCCGACCCTCCTCACGCTCAGCCTGAGGAAAGATTGGAGGAAAGGAAATCGAGTTACACAGAATTGCACTCCACTTCTTTCCTGGAGACAAGGAAGCCCACAAAGCTACCAATGCCTAACGGATGTTATACTTGTACTAAATTTGTACTTTTACTAAACAAGTACTAAAACTAAAGTCTACTTAGTAAGATCACTCGGAAGACGTGACCGCTTTAGCAAACTGTAACCTACTTCACTCAAGATCCTGAAAAATATTTCCGTCTTACATTGCAGATGGGAGAAAAGTGAAATAAGTCCGTAAAGTTTTATTTGCTAATAATTATTTGGGTCAGAGCCTATTTATTTACCAAAGCCCCATATGGCTCATTATTTGCCGTCACCATTCTACATGCTTACAAACTTATTTAATTTTCATAATGAAGTAAATACTAGATTTATTTCCATCTTACAGATGAGGAAACTGAGGCATAGGGAGGTTGATAAGTGGGAGACTGCGTATTTGAACCCAAGCAGTCTAGTTTTGGAGGCCCTACTCTTAGCCTCTATCTTATTTAATCCTGACGCCAAGTTTTTAACAATATCGTTTTGGGTGAAAAAACAGGAGCTTAGTGTGATGGTTCATTTTATGTGTCAATGTGACTGGGCCATGGAGGGCTCAGATGTTTGGTTAAATTATATTCTGGGCACGTCTGTGAGGGTGCTTCTGGTCAAGATTAACATATGAATGGGTAGACCGAGTAAAGCAGATTGCCTTCCGCAATGTGGGTGGGCCTCATATAATCTGTTGAAGCCCTGAACAGAATAAAGAAGTGGAGTAAAGGAGAATCATCTCTCTCTGCCTAACTATCTTCAAGCTGGGTCATCTGTCTTCTCCTGCCTTTGGACTTGGCCTAGGATTGGACTTATGTCATTGGCTCTTCTGTTTCTCAGGCCTTTGGAATCAGACTGTAACTAGACCATTGGCTTTCCTGGGTCTCCAGCTTGCTGACTGCAGATCCTGGGACTTCTCAACCTCCATAATCATCTGGGCCAATTCCTTATAATAAATATCTCTTTCTCTGTTTCTTCCTCTTTATGTCTCTCTCTTTCTCTCCATTAATTCTGTTTCTCTGGAGAATCTAGACTAATACGCTTAGAGAGAGTAAATAAATGCCCAAGGTCTTACAATTGAAAAACCAAAGCCAAGATTTGAAACCAGGTCTGATTCTGGCTGGCATTCCCAACCACTCCACGATCTATGAGCTAAAGGCAACACAGTGGCAAAGCCTGTCTTAACTCCCACAATTCCTCCCAGAGGCAGCAGCGAACCTTTTAATACCTAAAACAAAACCAGGAAACTGAAGTCACAGTTATTTCATTTCTTAAAATGAAATGAAACAAACATCCCTAACCAAACCAAACATCCCTAATTCCACCAACTTCTGTACCTCAGTTTCTTCAGGTCTGTAACCCATCGGTGCCCCATTCTTTTCAAGTAGTTTATTTCCTCTTCCTCCTCAACGACCCCCCGAATCTTATGTTTCATGTCCGGATCCTTCACAACCACAAATGTCCAGGGCTCCGTGTGGGCCCCACTTGGGGCTGTTCCTACAACCCATTAAATTAAAATCAGAAATTAAAAATCACAGGGAATTGTGAGAATGTTAATTAAGAATAAACATAATAACTCATGCTTGCTCAAAATGAAGTTACATCATCTGGCGAACCAAGCGCTTGGCAGCAGACTCTGGTATGTTGCTGCCGACTCCGTTTCATTCAGCATCAGGTTAGGGGTCTCCAAACCAACTAACTGAGATCAAGGCCACTAGTTCTAGGGCTGTGGGAATTTATCACTGTTTCTCTAATTATGTGGGAGAAAACGTCCCTGAGTAACTACCACGGCCACTAAGGGAAATCAGAGGGGAAATTCTGGCAGCCAAAATTCTCTAAAAAGTCATCTGCTTTGATATTCTTGAAAAAGGATAAAATCATGACGCTTATTGAAAATTGTAAAATTTAGATGGTAAAATGGTTTTTAAAACACTCCTCAAAATGCAGCTAAACTATAAAAGGTTTAGTATTTCTATCAAAGCTCTGAGTGTGGCACTGTGCGGATTGTGATCTTGTTGGGGACACACAAGATCTTTTGGCCCTGGGCGCTCAGTACACACAACAGCGTGTTTTCCAGCTCTCATGGGGGTCAGAAAGCCTCAGCCCACACGTGGATCAGTCCCAGTGTAGCGGGACAAAGCTTCATAGTGCATCACGGTGCCAAAATGACTCGAATTCCCTCTAAGATTCCATCCAGGGCCTGGGCCAGCTTCTGATCTAGATGTCATTCCTCTGTCCCAGAGATGGCCCACTGTTCCTAGTGGTAGACCACAGTGACCCACTGGTGGGATATATCAGAAGCAACCATTCCTTTCTTCCTAGTAATTTAATGGCCCAAATTCTACATGAGGGGGCGTCAGGCCTGCCAGCCTTGATGGGGTTCTTGTTTGCCCCTCCGCACTCCCCACGGTGGAGAGGTCATGATTGGATTGTGAAATGCAAGTCAAAAGCTAAACGTACAGCCCAAATTTCTGAACAGAGTGATTCCAATTCACTTAGGACCCATGTTGTTTGTTCACTGAATATCTGTGTCACTGAACATGAGAAATAAATTGTTCACTAATGTTTTCAATTACGACAAATGTATCTGAACATCATATGTACACACACACATATATAGATACAGATACCGTCACGTGTTGCTTAACAACCGGGATACATTCTGAGAGCGTCGTTAGGTGATTCTGTTGTTGTGCGAACATAGAGTGTACTTACACAAACCTAGGTGGTATAGCCTACTACACGCCTAGGCTATACGGCACTAATCTTATGGGACTACTGTTGTATATGCTGTCTATTTTTGACCAGAATGTCATTATGTGGTGTATGACTGTATATACACAGAAGTAACTGCTATTAGCTAGATAAAAGACTCAACAGTCTAGCACAATTGTATTCTTAACTGAAATGAAATGTTTTATTCTTGCTTCCTTTTGTTTTGGGCAATGGAATCACTATGGTCATACAATAATTTCTGCAAATGAACTTAAATGTGATTTATATAGGAATAAGACTCCAATCAGAGAAGACTCTCAGATAGACTCTCCTATATCTCCTTCCTCTTTTTCTGTAATTCTCATTTTTTCCCTCTGTGGAGATATTAATTTACATTGAATGTGGATTTCCCTTGCTTTGGTTTACTTTGCAAATTCACATGAGTAAATTTTGCTCGTTCATTAGAATACAGCACTAGAGCATCACGGTGTGTAATGTAAGAAATTTGGTTCCAAAGGGGGAAGTGTGTAAATGTGAGTAAGTGAATGTGTGTGTGTGTGCATGTGTTTTAAGGGGAGAGGGAGGTAAGAGGATGTTTCTTTTCAAATATATAATAGTGTGTTCAGATTTTTTTATCTTTAATAAAAGTTACAATATTAAATAATTTCAGAAATTGGAATTGTTGTTACATCTGCCCCCAAGAAGTTTGTAACTGTCAAAAGTTTGTAGAAAGTGGAAATCCTTATGTTTCTGGCAGTCAGTCAACACCTGGGTAAGACCTTATAGATAAATGTGTCACTCTAGGCTTCATTCACTGTGTGTGAACTTCAACATTGCTCCAGTATTGTCACTTGCAGGTGGCATTCAACAAGATCCCATGTGCCATTACAGACCTGCTGTTTTGATGACATTATCAATGACTTCCATTGGGACTTGCTCATTACTTATGAATCTGAGAGACCGTCTCTTGTTGAGAAGTTCATAAAATTCCTGGGATCTCTTAACCATTTCCTTCTCAGGGTACCGGATGTGGGAGAATGCAATGTGTTCAACATTTTCCTCTGACTCTTGCGATTCATCAGCATCTCCAGCTAAGAACAAGAAAGGCAGCAAATTAAATGATCCCTTGGTCATGAAGGGGAGCAGAATACGTGATCCCAAAATATGCCTCTTTGGTATAAGGAATACTTTGAGCTGATTATTTTTAAGAAACAGCAGACACAGGAGAGGCTCTGAAAACCCAGGTAGAAGTTACTCTTTTGTAAGAGACATTTACTTTTATAAAGGAAATCTCTGTTTGTGTCTCCCTCTCTGCACCAAGAAGAGAAGGATGATTCTAAATCACAGGAAACACTTTTCACTGGAGAAGGAGTGTTTTATACACTTTTCCAGTAAATATATTACATTTCCCAATTTTTTTTTTAAATGAGAGGCCATAGAAATTAATTACCAAAGAAATCAAAAGTAGATCAACTGACCAGAACTGTTAGGTAAGAACATCTGAAAAAGAGAGAATGTAACGGCGGGCCCTCCAGGACCAGTTCATCTGACCCCATCTCTTATCAACAGGGTGATTAAGAAATTGTCTTTCAGAAAACGTGCAAAGTCATGCAGTCAGAGCATGCACAGAAGAAGAAATCTTGACCTGAAATGACCAAAGAACCAAAGATCCGGAACCAAAGTACTGGTACACGACTGGAACTTGAAAGTCGGATTTTTATCAGAAGTGAGGGGGCCCTCATTCAGGAAGATCCGGTGTTAAAATTCTTTCCCCACCTCATCAAAAATGTTTAGAATCCCATCATAAAAGTTTAGAACCTCATTATAAATGCTTAGAACCTTACTATAAATGCGTGAATCCCACCAATCAAAACCTGTTCCACCAGCGTTTCTGCATGCCAGCTTGTTCTCCCTAACCTCTTATATTTTGCCCCAAATCGTGTACTGGGGAGACAGACCTGAGGGCACATGCCATCTGCCTCCCTGCAAATCGATCTTGCAGAATAAAGCTTATTTCTTTTCCCAAAGGCTGATACTGTAATTAATTGGCTGTAATTAATTGGCTTTTTATGCACATTGTGCAAGAGAACCCCAATTTTGTGCTGTAACAAGAAGACACTTGAACTTTCTCAATGCAGTGAAAGTTCAAGTAGGTGAGGTGTAGATCCTTATCATGACTTTCTTACCATATCATTTTTTAAAGTACAACAGCAAAACCAATTTTTAAAATATTCTTGTTTCATATTTAAAATATCAATGCTATGGAACAACAAAAGACCCCGAATAGCTAAAGGAATCCTGAGAAAAAAGAACAAAGCTGGAGGTATCACACTCCCTGATTTCAAAATATACTA